AGAGAGAGAGAGAGAGAGAGATACCAAATTCAAAGAAAGGGGTATTTTAAGTAAAAAAAATGTCTAAAAGCCTTAGAGATCTATTGCCACTTCTTGTGGATTTCAATAAATTGTAATTCATCTATAAATCAGCTCCAAGTGTCTAGAGTAGTTAAATTTGTCCAACTAAATACTCCATGCAATTACAATTATAATTCATTAAGTTTTGTGATTTATAGATGTTTATTTAGATACATCGTGAGTAGTCAAAAAAAAAATTTAGTAGACGTGTTGTGTAGTTATTTAAGATGCATAAAAGAATTCCATTTATGTCCTCTTATACAATTCAACAAGAAGTTAACAATGAAGGGCTCAATTTGTCCTATTTGATCTCATTTTAAATAATCAACAAGATACTTGATTTTCCCTCATTCAAATATAAAAACATTAGCATAAAATGGGAAAAATACTTCTTATAGATTTTCCAAAAACTCTAAGGGTTCTTAATGATTTTCCCAAAAATAAAAGTCACTAATTTGTAAAGCCTTTTCTAAGTTGTCATACAATTGCTCCCCTGGCTTCTCTTGGGCCTCAAAGAACTTACTTTGAAATAGAGGATTTATTTTTTCTTTTTTGGCTCCATGGAGCTACACAACAGAGGTGGCCCATCCCCTAAACCCATAACCCACCAACCAAGGTGCATGTGGGATTTGATTCCAAGTCTCTTAGCTACAACTACCAAGAGACAATACCAACTAGCCAGTTGACCCCTTGTAAATAGAAGAGTCACATTCAAAACTTATTTGATAAGGATAGCTCTTTCATCTTTAAAATGAGTTTTCAATTTCCAATCCTAACTTTTCTACTTAATTTTAGTTGTGAAGTTATTCGGAGCCTTCTTATCAATAATGCCTTGAATAATTGAAGCACCCAAATATGGGATGCTCATAATCTTAGAAATAAATTTTTAAAGCCTATCTAGCAAACATCTTGAGATTGGGCAGAAACTACCTATAAACCAATGGAAAAGCTAACCCAAAAACCATTGTTTTAAAAACCAGACCGAATTGGATGGTCAGACTGTTCGACTTGGGAATTGGTCATAGTTCCAAGACTGAATTTCGGTTGGACTGCTTTTATGAAAAAAACATTGACTTTGTGAAAAAACCGTTTACCTGGGCAGTCGAACTGCTAAACCGTTTGACTCGAGCAGTAGCTTGTGGGTTTTTGGTCAATTAATGTCTCTCTCTCTCTCTCTCTCTCTCTCTCCCTCCCTATCCTATTATGCTATTCTAACACACTTTCTCTCTCTCACCTCTCACATCTCACCTTTTATCTCTCCTCCTAGCCCCTTATTTCCTAATACAATTAATGTGTTAGCCAAGACTTTTAAGCTTTAAACGTTATTTTAATGGAACAACAAGAATAAAAATTATAAATTAGAATATGAACCTCATACGAGCATTATGGGATAAATATATCTAGCTAAAACTTGCCAAAAATGACAGTCAAAATTGTGGAGCCACACTCAAAATCCACATTTTAAAATCATTAAATTGTGACAATTGAACCTACTTTTAAAGATAATCAAATAATAATAATTTTGTTCAATATTAATTAAAAGAGATAAATATATCTAGCTAAAACTCCGTCAAATTTCAGTTACAACATTAATTAAAAGAGATATAAATATATCCAATAAAATTTCAGTTACAATACATTTTTAAAAAATTCAATTAAAACAATTAACAAAATATCAAATTTATCTTTAAATAAAAATTAATCTAAGAGCTTTAATACAAAGGGGCAAAATTTGTTCAACTAAAATTTAAGATTTGGATTAACCCAACCCAACTTGCAGACCTAGTGTGTTGTCATAATGAAAACCCAACAATAATATTGCTCTCTTGGGATATAATTCCCTACATCTCCCAAAACTTGAGGTGAAAGGGAAAGATAACGGGTAATGGCGTGTGGGCAATGCTAAGGGCAAATTAAAGGAAATGATTATGATGGTAGCGTTGGGGGTACATGAATGACTAATTATTATTTTGGAGGGGGGGTACATGAATGACTGATTTTGATGGTTACACACTTTCTTATATATTGAATAAAGTGTGGTAGTTTATTGTATTAAAAAGTTACTATCATAGGTGGCCCATTTGAATTTTTTTACATTTTCCTATATTGTTGATATGTGAAATAACTAGTAGAAACCTTTAAAACTCGACTGCTCAAACATATCACATCCCAACCATGTATTTTCCCAATGGGGCATTTTTGGGATGCGCACTGTAGGGGCAGATGGCTCAAATACACATGATAGAAAAGTGTTCCAAACCTACAACCATCCTCAAAGTGGGTCTATTAATTAAACAATTTGAATTGCTAAGACATTCCGGTATAGTATGTGACATAATTTATGGGATTTATGGTATAATAGAAAAATGACTTCATTTCAGATTATGAAGGGCAACCAAAAACGAAAGGAATCCTTGATAGTCATTTCAGATTATGAAGTAAAAATGACTTCATTTCATTTTCATTCGGTGGTTTGTTTGGCTATACTTGCCTGGTCACTTTCTTTGCTTTTATATTTTAATACTAGACTAGTTGTCGTCAAGCATTCCACTTCACTCTTTTGATTTTTATCCAAAGTTCAAAATATTGATATGTCACGGTATATTGGGCATTTCGATACTTGTTTTTTTATTTTTTTTAAACTGGTTTAAGGGAACTGGTCTAAGACCCTTCCATCCCCTGAACCGGTTAGACCCCTGATACACCCACTATAGGGACATATCAGAAGGGTCCCAAAATGATACGTATACGTAACGATACTTTAAACCTTACTTTTATCTTCTATGAAGCTTTCCAGCTTGGGAAGCAATTTTTAATACTATGGTCTTCAATCGTGGGGACGAAAACATATTCTAATTGGATCCAAAGAAATATTTCCTCTTAAGCTTCCTAAAGACTTTTATCTATAAAGTAAAACTAATAATTTCCAAAATCATTGTTTTACAGTACTTGATGCATGTAAAATAGTTTATTTTCCAAAGAGTAAAATGGTGTTTGGCATTGTGGTGTTTTAAGTTTCATGTTGGATATTGTAACATTTGAAATTGAAGGCTTAAAAAAAGCATATAGAACCTGAAAATAATGTGTTTTGACACATAATACAAAGACAACACTAGTTCTAAAAGCACTTACAGCTGCCAATGGGCTCGGGCCTGTTTTGACACAGGGTGGACCAGTTCGAAACCAATTATTAATTGGTTCTATAAGATAGTCACAAAATGGATCCAACTATTGATCAGGATAATTAGATTTGACGGGATTAGACCCAATTATACTTCACATTTCTAACTACCTATCATAACAATAACTTTTTTTGTTCGAACTGTATGAAATTTACAACTTCATCAAACTGTTTGTATGTTGGCAAATTTGTGTTTTTAGCCAAAATTTTATTATCTACCATATGAAATTTACCCTTTTTAAACATAAATTATAATAAAAGTTTATTAAAAAACTCTATATATTATTAATTATTTAATCTATTTGGATCTTAATCAATTCAGAACATGAGAATAAATCATGATCCAACTATTAATTAAAGGGTAAACATGTCATCGCTTTAATATCCTGAATTTTGGGGATAGTGTCAAATTAGTACCCGAACTTTTAAACATGTCACCGCAGTATTTAAATTTTCAAAAAGTGTCAAGTTGGTCCCTGTTGTTAACCGGCTGTCAGTTATCTGTTGAAAATGTCAAAACTATCCTTCAAAAGAAGACACTGTTCATTGTCTACTACCTTGAGACTGAGCCGGTTGAGGTGTTTGAGATTCTAAACTAATGAAGTCATTGTCTTCTACCTTTAGATTTGAATCACATTCTTGTCTATTTATTTCTTTGTTTTCGATTATTGTTTCCCACCATCATATTTTATGTTTTTTCTCTCTAAACCATAAAATCTGAACTGATATAATTAAATGTACATGTCAACAATTTGCCATTTAAAATAAAAGTATAAAAGTATTTTTGGTAAAAAAAAATGATTGATGCTGCCCGTGGATCTGGCATCAATCCACGGTCAGATTCATTCCACCCAAAAAATTATCCATACAGAGAAGGAAAGCAATACATAGAGAAAACAAGAGCAAGCAAAAACAAAACAGAAAGCACTAAAGAGCTAGAAACAGGAGTTCTATTTTCTAAGTTAAACAAATGCAGGTCCAAGTAGTGATATCATTGGCCCAGGCTTGGGTCCGGCCCTGAAATTTGCAGGCTGATGCGGGCTGGACCTGAACACAAAACCTAGCCCAAATCCAAAATTTTCCAGCCGGGATGTTCAGGCAATCAGACTTCAAAGTTCAAACTCCAAATAATGAAGGGAAAATTCCTAACAAATATCCTATACTTTTAAGGAGTTGTGTCAAGTCAGTACTCAATTTTTAAAATGTGATATTTTGAACTTTCAAATTGTTTCTAATAGATGTAAATGAATAAGTGAAATAACAGAAATGTCCATTAGGTGTCATCTAATTTTCTTTTCCTACCACTTTCACATAAATCAATTCAAAAGTTGAGTAGCTTGAAATGGTAGCGTTTAAAATGCGGCCGCTATGGTGGAGAATCGTCGCGTCCATTAATGTTGAGCTCCTATAGTCTTCTTTTGCATGCCCAGGTATTACATTCCTATTTCATCCATATTTGACAATGGGAAGCACAAAATTGCACCGATTCTTGAATATCCAATTACAGTTGATTGTTGAACGAGGGAGCTTGAATAGGGAAGTGGGAGGTTAAACAATTGATTGGTGTTCAGTTTTATAACCCTTTTTTTCTTTTCCTTCTTTTAATATTCAGACGAAGTGGGTAAAATAGTTAATAAAATGGTAAATTTTTTATTTTAAAATTATTTAATGCACATTAAAATTTAATGTCATGTGATGGTGTTTAGTGATGATGAACTAGCGATAACACCAATTAGACACAATTTGAAAATTAAAGGTTATGCAGATATACGTTTTAAAGTTGGGGGACTTGCTTGACACAACCCCAAATTTCAAGATACTGTTGAAGAAATTTTCGCTGACCAGAAATGAATAAATAAGATTTTTTTTTTTTGTAATCGAATAATTAAATTTGGGAATTACAATTATATCCTAAAAAAAAAGAAGTACAATTATACAGGGTTTTAATTTTTTTTATCCTATATATAAAAAGACGGTGAATTAAGAAACAAAAAATAATAAAAAATACAAAATAAGAAGCAAAGGAGCTAAGAGAAAAGTGTCGACACTTTCGCGCTCATCCGCCCGCAAAAAGTCGTGACTGAAAGTAGAAATGGCAGTCCAAACCCTTAGATTTGTCAAAAATGTCGTCATTTCGTCAGTTCTTACACCCTCTCCATTCTGTCTTCAACACGAACCCCCATAACACCTGCTCTGCCTGTGCATCAGTGCATCTGCTTCCACCACCACCGCTTCTTCCTCCTCCTCCCGCTGCTTATATACTTGTGTTAATTCGAGATCCGTGTTACCATTACCCACCCAACAACCACAATACGCTACACAATCCCCAATACTCTCTCTGATGTCACTCACCGAGGTTAGGGTTTCGAGAGTAATTCACATTTCACAATATGGCAATCACAACATTGGTTTGGTTTTCTCTGTTTTATGTCAGTTTTTTTTATTTGAATCAAATCTTCCTTCTATTTCAGGAGCTCGACGCATTATTCGACCTAAAAAGTTTCAGAGGAAAATTTCAGATTTTCTCAGGTACATAGTCGTGTAACCAGAGGATGATTCCCCCCACCCCTCCTCCCCCGCTTTCTCTGAAAAAGATTGAATTTTGCTATCTGGTTTTTTTCTGTTTTGGTATTCTCAAAATGTGTATTTGTTGCTTTCGGGGGGAAAAGGTAATATTTTGCAGGTAATATCAGAATCCATGGCCACGACCGGTTGCGTTGTCGAAACTCAAGATGATTGTCGCGACGAATCAGAAGCATGGGTTCTAAAGATGATTGCAATCGCTACAATTCTCACAGCCGGAGTAACAGGCGTGGCAATTCCCCTTGTCGGAAAGAAGCGAAGGTTGTTACGCACAGACGGGAATCTATTCATCGCCACTAAAGCCTTCGCCGCGGGCGTCATTCTGGCAACGGGGTTCGTTCACATGCTTCCAGACGGATCATCCGCGCTGTCCGACCCGTGCTTGCCCGAGAAGCCATGGTCCAAGTTTCCATTCTCCGGGTTCATCGCCATGATGGCTTCACTCTTAACCCTGCTATTCGATTTCGTTGGAACTCAGTTCTACGAGCGAAGACACGAGGGCAAAGCAACGGCGGGTAATGAACCGGGCGGAGACAAGTCGGTGGAGACGGCGTCGAATTCTGTAATTGTTCCGGTGGAGTGTGGAGCAGAGAAGGTGTTCGGGGTGGGGATACACGCGCACGCGGCGCACCATAGCCATAGCCATAGCCATAGGCACACTCATCCGCACGGGCACCAAGCTTCCGATGGTAACGCGGTGGGACTGGGAATTGGACATTCCCACGGATTTGAAGACAGCGAGGAGGAGGAGGAGGCGGGTGGTGTACGCCACGTCGTCGTTTCGCAGGTAAGATTAAGATCATTTCTCAGTTTGATGGATGGATGGATGGGCCAATGGGTCTCCAAGTGATGTGTTGGCCCACTGGCCCACTTCATTATCTGGATTCTGGATTCTGGAGGCCTTTTTACTTTGTTATGAATTGACAGAAGAGGGTGGTGGTGGGTGTGTGGGAATGCAGATATTGGAGCTTGGAATCGTATCGCACTCGGTGATAATAGGGCTATCACTAGGGGTGTCGCAGAGCCCGTGCAGCATACGGCCGCTGATAGCGGCGTTGTCGTTCCATCAATTCTTTGAGGGGTTGGCGCTGGGAGGATGCATATCCCAAGCGAGGTTGAAGTGGGTATCGGCGACGGTGATGGCGTGTTTCTTCGCGATAACGACACCGGCGGGAATAGGGGTGGGGACAGGGGTGGCGTCATTCTACAATCCAAACAGCCCAAGAGCGCTGGCCATAGAAGGAATTCTGGACTCAGTATCGGCGGGGATACTGGTATACATGGCGCTGGTGGACCTGATAGCTGCTGATTTCATGAGCAAGAGAATGAGATGCAACGCCCGTCTCCAGGCCGTCTCTCTCTTGGCCCTCTTCCTTGGTGCTGGCTTGATGTCCTCTCTCGCCATCTGGGCCTAGATTCTTTTTTTTATTTAATATTTATAATTTATTTCCAAGCTACAAATGAAGAGCAGTCACAGGCTCACAGCAGTGTTGTTGTAGTTGCTAGTTGTTTCAGTAAGCCAGTTTTTTTTTTTTTTTTTTAATTTAACAAAACAAAAAATGTATAGAGGAATAGAGGAGGCTTTCACAAATCACATTGGCAAGGAAAATATTGTAGTACGTGTGGGATGATTAATGATAGAAAACCAACTTCTGGAGACCATTGTTTCATGAGATACTATTATGGGCTATACCTAAACAAGAGGCCAGGCCACCAGTAAACAAACCCCTCCTAACTGTGCTTGTGCGCCAGTATTCTATGCCTAGGCTTCAAACAATTCAAAGTCTAAGCAATTATTAGTCATAGCATTCGCTGCGTTGAAAAAAGAAAATCAAAACCTTTAATTTATTGATGTGACCCCACCACCTTGAATTATGTAAGAAATGAACTATATCTTGATGGGGCCACATAATAAATCTTTTGTGTTTTAGGTTTAACCCTGCGCTATGAGTCTACGACACTGTCCAAAAGTGAACGCAAGCCTAAGTCTTACCAGTGGGGTGGGGTGGGGCCTGAATCCACCGAGGCCGAGTGGCCGACCCTTTTTTTCTCATACTTCCACTCGCCGCCCTTTTAAATGGGCCATAACCTCTTTACAAAGGTCCCCTCGGCACACTCTACAAGGAATATTGATACCAAGGTTCAAATTTTTGTCACATATTAGCCCGTATCAGTGCACCAAATTAGTTGGTCATTGACACACAAAATAGGAGTGTCACTGTGTTTTTTATTTATTTCAGGGGTACACAGGCCTAATACCAAATCCAGACATGTTTAAAAAAAAAAAACTAAAAAATTTAGGTGGCAACAATGTTCTAATTATCTAGAGGTGCAAATGGATCTCATCATGGTCCCATCCAAGACTGATTCTATTTGATCGAATTTGAATTACCTCTGTTAGATTTAGATCACCCCTATCCGATCCGATATATGTTATATATTTATTTATATAAATATCTTATTTATAATATATTTTTGTAAATTTGTTATATTATTTTTTATAAAAGAACATGTATATATATGATGAAAATAATTAAAATGTACTTATATTTTTTGTTTTTATTTATTTAAATTGATATATTTTATTTTTTAATAATTTATTAATTTTAAAAAAAAAACAAATTGGATCCAATCAGATCCGAAGATCTAACTTCCCGTTGGATTCGAATTCAGATCCTTGCCTATCATCATCAGATCTTAGGATCGGATCCACTACAAAAAATATCAGGTCGAATTCAAATATGCCCTAATTCAAATCCGATCCAATCCATTTGCATCTCTAAAAGTACCAATACACCCCCTGCACTGGTGTATTGTCAAAAACTCACCATAGTTTTCACCATTTCTCTTAAACTCACCACAACTTTTCAAAACGTCTAAAACTCACCATGTTGGTAAGTTTTTATTTTTCAAAACTCACCTTCCGTTAGTGCACTGTTAATGTTTCTTAACAGAGGTGTCCATGTCGGCATAAATAACAATTTTTATGACCAAATCACCCTTGAATGGCGAGTAAGAGGAAAAGGGTCTTTTTCTTTTTTTTTTTACATTTTTAGTGTTTTGTTATAATTTCTACTATTTTTTTATAATTTCTGTTTTTTTTACATTTTTCTATTTTCTACCATCTATAAAATTTCCTGTATTTTTTAAAATTTATTTGCAATTTCTGTGTTTTTCTATAATCTTTGGTGTTTTTTCTACAAATTTTATTTTCTGATTTTGTTTTTCAATTTCTATAGTTTCTATAATTTGAAATTTGAAAATAGTTTTTTATTTTGTGTGAAATTTCTATAATTTTTTATATTTTTTGTAACCTCTGTGTTTTTATGTATTTTATATTTGAAAATATTTTTTGAACTTTTTCCTTTTTTCCATGTCTAAATATTAAAATATATGTATATATTTTATATTTTTTTATGAAGGTTAAAAAGGTAATATATTAACTGCCATTAGTCTATTTAAAGTCAAGTTAATGACATGGTGAGTTTTAGACATTTTGAAAAGTTGTGGTGAGTTTAAGAGAAATGGTAAGCTTTTGACAATTCCCCTAAAAAAAAACGTATATTATCTAAGCAAGGATTAGCTGAACGTGGTGGCTATTCAACAGGCTGTGGAACCAATAATAATGTTCCACACCAGTAATAAAAATTAGTGGAACCACAACTTTCGCAATGGGCCCATGAATTTATTACTGCGATAGAACATTATCATTGGTTACAGCACAACGCTGCTGAGCACCACAGCGTTCAACTAATCCGAAATTCCGAATTATTGTTCTTTTTATCCCAAACATCAAAACATAGCGGCATCATAGGGTTATCAATCCTAATATAACATAAGATAAAGAACTTGTTACATAAGATCTACGGCTATTTAATGTTCATAGGCTCATCGCTATATTGCAACAACCCCCACTCTCAATAGAAAAAGGACCTACAACTCTGCATAAATTGGTTATTTCAGACTTGCCACTATTTTAGTTCTTGCTAAAGAGCAAAAGACATCCACGGACACGAATTGACTGCAATTCAGTATGGCCCACAGACTTTGCACTGACTGAATCCTTTTCTGATCTGACATATTCGGGTGTATGTGATCCAGCTAATAGGTTGAGGCCTTGAGGAAGCTTTACAAGATCAGTACTTGCTCTATAGAAGTCCAGCACAGCCACTGAGCCACCTGGTGACCGGTAAGGTAGGTTTGAGGGGCACAAACTTGCTTTTTGTTATGGAGATCTCCTTGTTTCATGCAAGCAGGGACAAAGGATTTTGAAATTCGAAGGCTTCCACTCTATTATTGTGATGGAGATACATTGGAACAGCGAAGCATTATTTTCTCCAACCCTGAGAAACAGTTCCGGTGTCCGCAACATTCTCTGTCAAAACTTGCAAAAGATATTGTAATATATCGAGATTGGGTGAGAAGTGATCGGTAATCGTCTTGGACCTTCCGAGTTTGTAGTTATTTGGGCCCATGTTTCGATCCTGTATCTTCTCTCTCACTAGCATGATCAATTGAACATGATTTACCGAGTCTTATTTACCGTCTTTTACTTTCTTGGATATGATCAAACATCATCTATTCCCCCTATTATGGTAAGAATAGAGACTAGAGAGGATCATCAAATAATAATCACATCGCTCGATTACAAATATCAAAGAGAATCAAACTAGGCTACTAGCTACTTCCAAGTTCCACCAAAAAAAACCTTTTTCTACCCAATCTATTCTGATAATACACAAAACAAGAAAACCGCTAAACAGCAAGTCTATAAATGCCTAGATTATAACTAGAGCATTCTAAATTCTACTTTATCTCCGATATGCTTGTACAACAATCTGCAGAGAATAGGAAAAAAGATCCATATATTGAAAACTATAATGGGGGGCCCTTTGATCCCATCAAACCGTGACCCCTGCCTGGTATGAAGCCTTTAAACAAAAAATAAGCTTTCAAACCCTTTTTTCTCTAACACCACCGTTAAAAGAGCATATGCATGTAGTTCCTCCGGCAACCAACCACTGACCATGTGAAACAATAGCATCTTTAATGGAAGAAGGTTGCTCTTTCATGCGACCACAACAATGGTCTCCATGCAGACTGCCGCCCTAGATTATTTCACTTTGTCTTGCTGCAAAGTACTTGAATACTCTGAACCATTCTCTGAAGACGTCATGGTAGATGAAGCACTTGATGCCAAATCGCTCCCGGCATGCATGCTACTCCCCAACCTCTTTGATTCAGAGGTAGGGTTTCTGTGGGCATCCGTAGCTGCTGGCTTTTGGCCTTCCTCGGCTAGCCTTTTGAGAAGGTCCATCACAGTTGGTAGGAACTTTGTAGACAAAGATAGAAGCCCTGGAAGCTGCAGGTAGATCCAAGAAATCAGTGGATCAGCAATACTTCCAAGGAGAAGAAAATAAAAGCACACCCTCTTTTAGTTTCAATAGAAGCAAGACAAATAGTTACAATACTCAATACTTACAATACCATTGCGGAATTCACTGGAGATGTCCAATTGGACCCACAGGGCCTTGACCAGTAAAAAAACAACAAAAATGACACCAAGATATAAAGGATTCCTGTTTAAAAAAAAAAGGGAGAGGGAGAGAGAGAGAGAGAGAGAAGCAACTAAATGAGAATAATTTTGCAACTTTTAAGGGAAGAAAGCTTCTGCAAAAATGTATGCACAGTTCCTCAAGGACATAGTAAATGCACACCTTAAGAGCGTCATAAATTCGTTGAATCCCAGAACAATCATGGCAACAATTGCCCATGGAGGTGGTAACCAATTGTTATTACGTTTATTGGCTTCCTGAGAAGAAGAGGAGAGATACCCCAATCAATTACTATGACAACATAGGTTTTTCCAATCACAAAACCAGATGACTAGGTCCACTATGTTGGTGTGCAACATCCCGACACATTTAACAATAAAAAGAAATGCCACTAGATGATTACCAAGTCATACCATAAGTAGCATCCAATCGTTTACATTTGATTATTATTACTGATTTAGATGAAACCATAGCTATAGGAAATTAACTTGCTAAATGCAATACTCGAGAAAGATCAGTCAAATAGTAGAATAATATGATTTTGACAACTCTTTCACAGCTAAAGAATGTGCCGACTTCCAAGCTAAAACACCGGAAAGTTTGGTTGGTTTATTTTTCAACTTCACAAAATACATGCAGAGTTTCTGCCTTCCCACCCTATGATCATGATACCTATAATAGTCAAATCAACCTAAGAAATGCAACTATGGAAAGAAAACACATCAAAACAAATCAGAACTGATAAAGATTTGTGTTAAAATGATAAATGTATAAAAGAACATGCCTGAGCAGCAATGGCTTGAGTAACACTGTACTCTGTCTCCACCTTGAATTGCCTCCACAAATTTTTACATTGGACGGGAGTAATCAGAGTTCTCGTTGGTGGAACCTGAAAAGTATTAACCACATACTACTTGAGTATATTAAGCTGAAAAGAATGAGCTCTGAACAACAATTTAGAATGGAAAAGGTGAATTTTGTTTAAAAACTATTTTAAAAAAAACGAAAAGAAAAGGAATTTACAAAAATGAAAATAAAGAAAATACAGTATAAACAAATTTGAAATACTTAAATGGCAGTTCTGGTCTTAATATCTTAATACAGGAAGGATGTCCTGGTAATATTTCACCTATTTGGATTATTTAAGAAATAAAGGGTCATAGATAGTTTTCTAATGTCATTACTGAAAAGATAATTTTCTAACTTATTTCCAGGTGATAAATTACCTTTAGTTTTTTTAGATAACTTACCTTTATTTGATGATATGATAAACATGTTTTTGAATCTACGGACCATGGTAGTATTCTTTATGTAAATGCATGAACACCCATGAAACATTAGCAATTGCATTTTCCAAAACAGTGTCATGAGATGGTTTACATCTATAAGATGCTACGACTTCAACTATTCACAGCTTTCTTTAGTTCTCTTTTTACTATATTTCAAAATTATTTATGTAATTTACTATTTATTTATAGCCATATTCTGAGATCTAGAGTTTGCCTTAGGTCCTTTCCTTTTGTAAATTCTCTTAAATCTGCCGCATGGACCATTCCCGACCAATCCTTCCTTGAGGCGATGAAAAACCTTGGTTACATGAACAAAGCTGTCCGTTTGATGCAATACGGGATTCGGACCAACTGAGTAAACATTTACAAAGTTGGTTTTCAAAGACCCATCTTAAGTACATATAGGGAGAGGATGATGCAGCACAAAATGAAGCTAATAAGTTCTATGCAAGTTGGGACCATTCCAAGACACATAAGAAGCAGAAATGACGCCGCCGACCCAACTTAGTAAATATTTACTGATATAGCATCGTCACAGAATTTCTATCTTAGTTCATTTTTACCAAGTTGGCACCATCGCAGAGTTTCTATCTTAGTTCGTAATTACCAAGTTAGCGTTATAGCGAGATTTTGAATTTGTATTCAATTAGGACTTTTTTTTTGAAGAGTTTTAGTAAGATTCTATTATGGAGTGTTTTCTTATATTAGGATTGCTCAACTAATACTTTCTTTTTGAGGAGTTTTAGTAGGATTCTATTATGAAGTGTTTTCATAGATTAGGAAACTTTCTTGTAGGAGCCATAAGGATGTATGCCTATATAAAGAGTAGCTAGGGGACGGCTAAGACAGTTTTTTATATTGAATTTTCTCTTAATTATTCAGTGAAGAATTCTTCTTCCTAGTAGTTCGACTCCTGCTCTTTTCTTTGAAGCTTTTTCTCAATGTGTTCCATTTCCGTACTGTGCCATCGTTACTGTAACCTCTCGTTTTCCGTACGTCCCCTGCCTTTTGGTTCTCTGAATTAGTCTGTCCCGATTCGGTTATGACTCTTCTCCTGTCTAGCTCCATCCCCAGCTTTCCAATCAAAATCGAAGTCCACACTACTTCCTTGTCTGTCCCTTTAGCTTTTTTGTCACTCGTTACCTTCCTTGTTACCTAAACCAACTCCCTACTATTAACTCCACATGAGAACACCATTCTCTTTGATAGATTTCCTTCTATCACAGTTTTCTTCCACTTCAGCTCTTTCCACCACTCCATCACCCTCCTCAATCCCATCTGAAAATTTAAGAATTTCTTTCTCAGAGTTATCGGTTGAACCCTTGGCACTGAATTTTCTTGTGATGCCATCGAGCCTGGTTCTCCAAGGTCACACCCAACCTCAAGGGGCGTCAGATCTATAACCTCGGGATTGGAAGAACCAAGAATCCCTTTGGGATCCATAATTTTCTGAGAAGAATGTCCTACATCGCCATTCACGGGAGGAGTGTGTCCGTCGCAAACCCCTTGAGTTCCACCTACAATCCTCTTCCTACCATTTTTTTCATACCTAGCGACCACCCAGACCCATCTTTCTCTTATAGTGTGGAATTTTACCAAACATGGAAGAAACAGCAGAAATCTCTGTAAGTTATAAGTTGAAGACAAGATACCATAGGAGTTATGTACCTTGAAACTGAGAAACCATTCAACAACCCCATGCATTTGAAGATCAATTGATTGTAGGCAAACAACTAGTTGTGCCATTTATGGAAGATCCTGATTGGTGAGGAAAGGTTTATTACTTGTTTATGGATAACTGAAAAATTTTATTAAAATGATCAAAGAATGGAAAATATACAGCATACACAGCATCCCTTCTACAAGTAGGCCATCCATAATTCCTACCCCATATTAAATCTAGTCATTCTCATATAAAAGACTCCGTAAGTTCCCTATTCACTCCTTGCCTGGTAAGCATCAGCCAAGCTATTTGCAGATCTGTTGGTCCAATCAAAGGTTGCATTTGTCTCCCTTAGATATGTAATCTCCTTCACGATCTGCCTAGAGCATCAGTGCCCTTGTTTTTAGTTTTTTAAACAACCCACCACCATCTTAGCATGTCTATCTATCCACTTGCAGGTTAATATAGTTCAAAGATTTATCCATTCTCAGGTCTTGTAATGCTGGCATGAGTTCTGCCCTTACTAAACTTCTGGACCTTATTGGCCCTGAGTATATTGCTAATATATTCCCAATTTCATTTCTAAAAACTCCCCTAACACCCTAGGATCTAGGGTTGCCCAAGCTCCATCCATCAAAATTTAGCTTAACGTAATTGGGTCTAGGTGGCCTCCAAGACAGTGACATTCTTATTCTAATACAAGATGGCAAAGCCAGCAGATGTCATCCTCTAAGGATATACAACTCAACTGAAAAGGACCAAAAATATCCATGGTTTTGTCCCAATTCACTACTCTCACTGAATAGATTCTATCAAACCTTCTTTTGGAATTCCTTTTTTACCAATTTTTTTTTTCTTTTTCCATTCCTTTCTTCCCAAACAGACCATAATATCGCAGCACTAGTATAACTCCACATTATCCTCCCTCTCTAAAAACGAAGAATTAAACAAGCTTTCCACATCCAGCAGAGGGGGGGCTGGGGGGGATGCTAATCTCAAATGCTAGTGATAAATGGGGGTGCTCAGGGTTCAGTTAACCAAACTGTGGGCATATATGTCAAACTGAACTGGTCCCTTCAGTTTTTGCAATGTTTTGAACCAAAACCGAACCGAATCAATCAGTTAATTAGTTTATCAGTTTGGTCTTTCGATTTTTTATATTTATAATATATTATAAATATATATATATAAATATACAATATGTTATGTCATAAATATAATATATATCAGTCGGTTCAATTAACCGCATCTTTTTTTTTTCTAGGTTAACCAAAAACCAAACTAGTACCTTTGGTTTTTGAAAATATCAAACCAATTAGTTCAGTTAACCAAATTTTCCAGTTCAGTTCAGTTTTTTGGTTTTTTATGAGCACCTTAGTAAGTGATAGGTAGTCTCACCATTTGCCATACAAAGAAGGCAGATATGTGGGGATAGCCACCAAGAAAGTCTTCTCCTTTGGAGAACATTGCAAGTTTTAGTTTTCAAGTGATAAACCTCCCAACCAAAGGTGGACCTTAGAGGGTACCAGCTTGCACCAAATCTCCTTAAAGAGAAAATCCTAAGAAGAGGGAGAGGATGTGAGGATTTTAAAATATGCACACAAGAGCAAGCCTAAGGCTCAACCAATCGTATTCTAGCATCATCAGAAACATGATCCAAAAAAACACATCTTCCAAAGAACTTAATAAAGAGAACCTCCACGAGTTCAAAGCTACCCAAGGAAGAAGGAGAAAAAGGAAGAAACACATTTACTTTTATAAGAGGATAACAAAAAGACAGATGGAAAGAAATCCTTGAGAGTAGAGTCTACCACCCAAAATTCCTCCTAGAAGAGAGCTGAAAAGTGAGGTTTATTACACAAGATTTTAAAATACTGCACATTTTATTATTTATTCAACAGGTATACCGAATCACATGGATAGAAGACCACCAAAAACTCCAGTTAGAAGAAGTGACCTGTTACAAGTTGAACTGGCTAGAAGAGCTAGGGGTATGGATAGAAGACCACCAAAAACTCCAGTTAGAAGAAGTGATCTGTTACAATTCTTTAAATAGAAAGAATTGGTGAAACAGGATTCATGTAGCCAACCCCATATGGTTGGGATATGGCATGGACGATGATGATGATGATGATGATTCAGCAGATATACCAGATAAGCTTATCAAAAAAAAAAACAAACAGATATACCAGATAAGAGAGACAGAAATAAGCAGGCCTTAGGAGGCTTGTCTGCAAGAAAGCCCTTTCTGGTGTAGCACAAGTACTGATAAAAAGGGCAGCCCAGTGCATGAGACTTGCACCAAAGCGGGGTCTGGGGAGGGACAGATGTACTCAGCCTTACCCCTGCAGATGCACAGAGAGACTGTCTCTAAGATTTGAAACCTGATCACCCAGGTCCCAAGTAAAATACCAAGGTACTGAAATAATTCCCATATTCCAAACATAACAGGTACAATACCAAGAATCAAAACTTCTAGAATTTGAATTCCTTGAATCTGAAACCAAAGATCCATGTCCAAGAAAATTGAGCTAAAATGCAAAACAGAAAGTTGGAGCCTACTAACATCTAATTAAAAAATCTTTATTTTCTCTTTCCAACTAGGTATGTTTTTAAGGAGAAATATTTTTCTTTTTATTCTTCTCTTCATCTAATTTTCATTCCCTCTATCATATTTTCTTGTACTTTTAGCATTTATGCAACCAGCCCAATCAGCGATAGCAGGTTTAAACCATACAATCATGGATCTGAGAACACATCAAGAATGAGTTCAGCAGCTAAAACATGGTTACCTCTTCCCATGTGCTTGAAGCCAGTGGATCAAATGATGTGATGCTCTTACTGGTAGAGGCACTATTGTAGCCATCCATCAGAGCAAGAGAGAGAGTATTCTCAATATTATCAACACTTTCATCCAAACGAACCACAGCCATAACAGAGAGCAACTTTAAGGACTGAAAAAGAAGGGGGAGGGGTAAGAGACATCAATATATAGAAATTCTGCTCAAAACTGAAAATTCAACCATTGATATAATAAGTTGTGGCATACTGCAGAGCGAGCAGTTTTTGTGATTGCTCGGATATCTTCCTTCCCAGTCCAAACCCTCGGCATTGAGTCGGAGTCACGGCTAAACAGCGTTGAAAACCTGTAAATTGATTTGTATAGTCACTGTCAATTCAGTTGTGGTTAGTCCACACATGCTACCCAAAAAAAAATACCTGTCCTTCATACGGATCAAGACCCTTCCAGCTTCTTCTCTTGCCTTCGTTTCAACAACACCTTTTGCATAGTCCTCTAGGTTTGTAAGCATTTTATTCACTGTTTCTTTATCAATATCAAAGCCAGAAAGTGCAGCAGACATCCCAGAAACAGCAACCTTAGTCTCCCGTTGAAGAAGTTTCCTTATTGCTGGCCAGGTATCATTGTCAGCTGCATCAAGAAGAGCTTCCACAGGTTCTGCTAACCCCACATTCAATTTTCTCTACAAGCATATAAAAAAAGGTTCTTATCATCCTTTGTCCAGCAGTCATAATAACAAAGTTAATAGACCAAGTAATGAATTGATATAACATACAAGTAATTAATAGGTACAACATTAGTAACAAATAACCTTAAGCATCTAGAACTTAAAAACTTATAACATGAAGACCAGGGGCCATTTATTGAGAATAATTCTTTTTCTTTTATTTTTTGATAGAAAGAAGTTAACTTTCATACAAAAAAGAGGGAAGTTTGCTGCCTTTCTATCTTTTATTCTTTTTAACGCAATCTCCATCTCACAAAAGAAAAGAGAACCTGTGAGTACATGTTTCCTATCTAAGGAGAATCAGCTCCATTTTTCATACCTCATATAGGGCAGTAAGCTCAGCCAGTTTAGCAGCACGGACTTGAGAAACATGTGCATCTATATCTCGCTGCAGCTTATCCCCTACTTTGGATGGATCCCATTTTGCTTGCTTAATCGCTACATCTGTAACATTAACAGGTATTTAGCATACACAACATTTCAATACAATATGAGATCAGCTTTTTCTTCCCTTACACAACATTTCAATACAATATGAGATCAGCTTTTTCTTCCCTTTTATAGGGAGGTTTTGATGGATCTCATTGAACTTCATCCTTGTCCCAAGCAACAGTTTGGCATCATTGAACATATTCTATTCCCATGACCAAATGAAAGTCCTTTTTTTTCATTATCCAAAATTGAGATCAGTTGCATTTTCATGTTCTACAATCCATACAAACCTTGGATCCATCATTGTCCATCACTTTATGTCTTGGGAAAATCCTATAGTAGAGTGGAATACATTGAACAACTTTCTTCAGATGAATCAAATAATAACTATTTTTTTCTTTTTTGCAACTTGTACATTACAATGCATAATAGTTCCACTCCAATGCAAATGTGTAAATGTCTTCCTGAGTCCTTTAACTTATCACATGATTAACAATCAAAAAAAAAAAAAGATTTTTGGTTACTGTATTCATTTCTTGAGCATTTAACAAGTGATATATTAATTTTGACTACAGAAAGAAACAGGAAAGAAAAAAAAAATCTACAACAGTCTACCATACCTCATTAGCAAGATTGCTGATTATGAATGGTCATTTTTTTCTCTTTATTGGATTGGTAATAAGTATGGCCATTTTTCATCACAGAAGTTTTTTCCTAGTGTTAGAGTTTAACCACCACATTGTCTTACACAAATTATGTCTGACATAATAGATTATTAGTTTTTAGTTGAGTAAAAGCAGCTAGTATAGTAGGGAAAGAAAGCATAAAACAAAAATGCAAAGAAACAGGAAATTGAGCATGACTATAAAAGATAGCCTTTAGCAGAATTACAACATGAAATATTTAGTAGTACCTGCACATCCTTCATCAAATTGTGTCATGGAAGACTTGGTGCAATGACGTGCAGCAACAGCAAATTCTTCCCCTCCGCTCAGAGCCTTGTCAAATGCTTCCTTGAAATTTTCTAGAGTTCGTGACCGTATGTGACCCAACATGGATTGGTAAGCGGGTTGAACTAGCTAGAAAAAGCCCAGCATAAAGCAAGAAATGAGAAAAAAACATAGAATGACAATTTTCTTGCCCCAGGAGAATTCACCCATGTGTAAACAGATTCTAGAAATAACAGTTCTGAAAATTCAGTCTATAGCATGTTAGTGGTTGTTTAGACCACATGCTACTAGACAGAAATTGATTTTGTTTTCTCAATGATAAGATTAACTATCATTAATAGAGGCCTTAAATTATTTACAATAAAAAAGAAACAGTTTTCTTCTTTGTCAAGTGAAAAATAGGGTAAAAAAATTCTTGAATTCTAAAAGAGCAGAAAGAATAGGTATTACCTGCAGCACTTTAGCTTCCAACTGATTCCATTTTGCTGTCCTGACAGCTTCATCAAAATAAATAGTTTCTGCCTCATACCTACAGATAGAATAAGAAACTCATCAATGTAAAAGTTGTAGGTGGACATATAATTGTTTGGATTATCAAGATCTGAGTTACAGCAGATCAAATAAAAATTCATATTGCAATATGCATATTTGCCGATCCTGACAAACAAATAATGAAGGTTGTCACTTTTTATATTGACAAGGAGAAGTAAGCCTTCATTGTACCAAGTCATGAAGACAAGTCATGGAGAAGGTCCGATTGATGTGAACTAAACATCAAGGCTAAATCAGAGAAAATGTTGGGCCTAGAGGTGAGATGATTGGTTTTACAACTGAATATTGTAAGTCTGAAGAACTCAACAAAACTTGTTTGCCATAAGATATGAAGTCAACAAGAAAACTCTCAACATATGGCCAACATCCTCATTTATCAATATATATATATATGGCCAACAACCTTAGCTACTTTGTTGTCAAAACCATGTGTTGTCACAAATGGTTTCAATGTGGGGATGGATAGGGTATATATCTCTCAGTTCAATTCATTGACAAAATCCTTTTGTTTCTCAACATGAGAAAAGTCACATGGAATGCAAGGAACGCCACTGGATGCCCTGAAGTGTTTGTGGTTACAGTGCTAAATCCAACCTAGAGGGAAAAAGCAGTCATGTATGCAACTTGGATGAGGAAGTTAGGAAGAAAACTGATTCAGAAACATTTTGGGCTGTGGAATGGAGAACCACTGATTAGGTACCTAGGGAAGCTGTTAGGAGTAATTCTGAAATATCTAGATTGTTGTAATGTGGTGATTGAAAAATGTGAGAAGAGGCTAGAAACTTGCCCTTTCAAACATGCTACTTTACTTTCTCTCAATTTTACACATATCAACCAGGACGAGATTGGATAGAATAGCTTCAATTTTACACATATGATTAGTGTTGGTGTCAACTGTATAGACGTAGTTTGGTCTTTTTATTTATACTTGGTGTGAGGTGTAATGTTTAAGTTAAGTGATGTGTCATTTATCAAAAAAAAAAGTTAAGTGATGTGTCCCATACTTAAGTAGGGGCATAACAGACATTTTGTTTTATTATAGAAAACTATAAATATAACCTGGCCGGTTAGAGAGAACCGACTTTTCTCCCTTGTTCGAATCAGTTTCTTCTTCTCCTCTCTTCTCTTCTCTTCTTCTTCTCTCTTCTATCTCCTCTAACCTTCTTCTACTACTACTATTTCTAACTGAATACTAGTGCAAATCTGAACTTTATCATGGCACCAGAGCCATTATGACAAATTCAGATCTGCCCAGAATTCTTTTCCATCGTCATTCAGCCTAGGGTTTTCTAGATTTCATCACCATCTGTTGGAGATAAGAAAAAGGGCTGAAAAGGAGTGATCGCCCTTCCCTTTAGGAGGTTTACATGCCTCCGGTCTGTGGTTTAGTAGGTGTTTGTGGTGGTTTGTAGGAAACCCTCTAATCGATGGTACAAAGAGGGCTGTTTCAGGTGGTGCAGTGGACAGTCGAGTACAGGTTGGTTTTTTGTTGATCAAATAGGTGGGTTGTATGGGTGTTTCAGTGTGAATCAAGTAGTTGGTGAGTTGCTAGGTTTATGGTGTGTATTTGGGTAGTTTTGTGATGCTGAGAGTGAAGAATATCAGAGACTATTATTGCTGAAAACTGTGACAGTATGTGTCTTCAGCAATAATCTGTCACTAGTGTGCAGAGTGGTGAAAAGTGAATTAGGCATGTGATATACATGTGAGAGAGAAAAAAGGGGAGAAAGAAAGAAAGAAAAAATTCAGATATGGGAGATGGTAGTGAACACAAGTCTAGTGTTATGGTTTCCCCCGATTACTTGAATGTTAAGATGATTTCTATCAAATTGAATGGGGAGGATTATGTGCCTTGGGCGAAATCCGTAGAGGTCTTTTTTAGGGCTAAGAAGAAAGTGAAGCATGTAAGAGAAGAAAAACCTCCCGCTGATTCTCAGGAATATAGTGATTGAGAACAAGAAAATGTACAAATTATGACCTGGTTATGGAATAGTATGGAACCGAAGATCAGTGTGAATTTTATGTTTTTAGATATAGCCAAGGAGATTTGGGACCATGCCAAGAAGTTGTACTCTAGACAAGACAATACTACTAGAGTGTATCAGCTTTAGCAGGAGTACTTTAATCTGCAACATGGTAATCAAAGTTTTGAGGAATACTATGCTAGCATGAGGAATCTTCGTAATGAGTTGAATGTGTACCATCCCCTCACTTCTGATGTTAAGATTCAGCAACAATAGAGAGAGCAACTCGATGTAACCAGATTTTTAGTAGGGCTGAAATCTGAATATGAACCAGTGAGAGCGGTCAGCTCTTCCTTCTCTAAAAGAAGTGTTTGCCCGACTTCGGAGGATTTTTGTTGGACCTACAGGGAACCTAATATCTTTGATCGATCTGCCATTGTAGTTACAAGAGGGGGTCGTGGAATTAGAGGTGGAGCTCGAGGAGTTCAGCCCGCTCATAATGGTGGTGGTGGGCCCATGTATGGTCGTAGTGGTGGTGATGGACCCATGTATAGTCGTGGTGGTGGATGTATTGAAGGTCGAGATTCAGGGGGAGCTCATGGCAGAGGACGTAGTACTAATGGTCCGAGGAGGTGTACACATTGTGATATGGAAGGGCACACCATCAACTTTTGTTATAATTTGCATGGCCCACCTTCAACTTGGGCAAATTATGCAGTGGCCAATGATGGTACTTCAAGATAGGATATTCAACAAGTTGATCAGATGCCTTCTACATCTACAGATGTCTCTGGGAAGGAGATTATGAGTGTCCCACGTGATGAGTATGAGCGGTTTATCTAGGCCACGTCTCAAAGGAATACAGTTACCCTCGCACATTCAGGTATGGCTTGTTTGGCATCCAAACCCTCCCATTGGATTATCGACTCTAGAGCTTCCGATCATATGACTAGGACTCCAAGTGTATTTTCCTCCCTTTCTCAGTGCTCCACATCACACTTTGTTACCCTTGCTAATGGTTCCACATCTTCTATTTGTGGTGTTGGTAACGTTGGCATAGACCTTTTATCCCTATCCTCAGTTTTGTATATTCCCAAATTTCCTTTTAATCTTATGTTTGTTAATAAGATGACTAGGTCTCTTAATTGCTCTATCACCTTTTACCCTTCTTCTTGTGCTTTTCAATATCTCAAGACGGGGATGCAGATTGGTGGAGGACATGAAATTGGTGGACTGTATTATCTTGATGGTGGTGGTAGTTTGTCTACAGCTCTTCAGACATCTCTTTCTCCTCTTCAGTGGCACTATAGACTTGGTTATCCATCGTTTAAAGCACTTAAGTCACTTGTTCCTTAGTTGAGTCATCTTTCTGTTTTGGATTGTGAGTCGTGTTAGTTAGGGAAACATCATCATGTTACCTTTAGTCCTAGGGTTGATAATTGTATGTCAAGTCATTTTTCTTTAATTCATTCAAGTATTTGGGGTCCAAATAAAATAGTGTCATACAATGGTTACAAATACTTTGTTATTTTTGTTGATAATTATTCAAGGATGGCATGGCTTTATCTTATGAAAGAAATAAGTGAATTGTTTTCCATTTTCCAAAAATTTTATATTGAAATCCGCAACCAATCCGGTGTACACATTTAGATTCTTTGTTTTAATAATGGCCGCGAGAATACTTTTATACACCATTTCAGGAGTATTTGAAACAACATGGCATTATCCATCAAACCTCATGTACCTACACCCTACAGCAAAATGGGGTGGCTGAGAGAAAGAATCGCCATCTTTTGGAAATTGTTCGATCCCTTTTGCACTATATGAATGTACCCAAACCTCATGTACCTACACCCTACTGGATGCCCACACCCATCCTTGAAAGTCATTCTCTTTTCATAACTTTGTTTCCTCTTACTCTCAAGGTTTTTGAGTGTGTATGTTTTGTCCATAATCTTGGACCTAGAATGGACAAATTAGATGCACGATCCACGAAGTGTATCTTCCTTAGTTATTCCCGGACCCAGAAAGGTTATAAGTGCTATAACCCCAGTTCTCGACATTCCTCTGTGTGCCATGATCCTGATGTCACTTTTTTTAGTCTGTTCCATTTTTTTTCTAGGTCAGGTGATGTCTCTTCTTCTTCTTCTCCACCTCCTCTTCCAGTTCCCATTGAAGACTCCAATCCACTTGTTCCAATTGTGACTAAGTCTTCACCTGTAATGCAGCTTCCTATTGACAGCACATGGTTTGTTAGATTCAGTGAAGTGATAAAAAAGTTTGGCATGAAACAGTGTCAGGTTGATCACTCAGTATTCAGCTATGATTCACATGTTGGGAAGATTTTACTAGTGATATATGTAGATGACATTATTATTAACGACAATGACAGGTTGGGGATTGATAGGTTGAAGACCTTTCTGCAGGAGCACTTCCAAACAAAAGACCTTGGTAAACTAAAATATTTCTTGGGGATAGAAGTAGCAAAGGTCTAAGCAAGGTATTAACTTGTGTCAAAGGAAGTATGTTCTTGATTTGTTGGAGGAGACAGGATTGTTAGGTGTCAAACCAGCTGAAACACCTATAGAACCAAATACCAAGCTAAGTACTGATGTGGGTAAGGAGTTTAACGACCTTGGAAGGTACAGGAGGTTGGTGGGTAAGCTAAACTACCTAACCATTTGTAGTTAGTGTGGTGAATCAATTTATGCAAAACCCTTAGATAGTCAGATTGCACATTGGGATGTGGTTCTAAGGATTGTACGGCATTTAAAGGGAGCTCCTGGTCGTGGCTTATTATATAAGAGTAGAGGGAATCTTGAAATAGAGGGATACACCAATGCTAATTGGGTCGGTTCAGTATCTGACAGAAGGTCCACTAAAGGTTATTGCACCTTTCTTGGGGGTAATTTGGTGACATGGAAGAATAAGAAGCAGACAATGGTGGCAAGAAGCAGTGCAAAAGCTGAATACAGAGCCATGGCACATACAACTTGTGAACTAGTGTGGCTAAGAAATCTTCTACAAGAGATGGGGCATTCGATTGACACTTCTATAAAGCTTTACTATGACAACCAAGTTGCAGTCCACATCTCTTATAATCCAGTTTTTCATGAGAAAACAAAGCATATAGAAGTTGATTGTCACTTTATGAGAGAGAAGGTGCTTAGTGGAGTGATAGATACTACATATGTTAACATAGAAAATCAATGGACAGACTTGTTCACCAAAGGGTTGAGTCAAGGAAGAGTGGACTACATATGTAACAAGCTGGGACTATATGATATATACTCACCAGTTTGAGGAGTGTTAGTGTCGACTATATAAGGGTAGTTTGGTCTTTTTATTTACGTTTGGTGTGAGGTGTAATGTTTAAGTTAGGTGATATGTCCCATATTTAAGTAGGGGCATAAAAGACATTTTGTTTTATTATAGAAAACTATAAATATAACCTGGCCAACTAGAGAGAATTGACTTTTCTCTCTTGTTCGAACCAGTTTCTTCTTCTCCTCTCTTCTCTTCCCTTCTCTCTTTTATCTCCTCTAACCTTCTTCTACTGCTATTTCTAACTGAATACTAGTGCAGATCAGAACTTTATCAATTAGGAATCATTTCTTTTTGTGATAAGTTGCATGCAAGCCAAGGAAGGATAGAAAACCAATTCTTTTTCTGAATTGAGCATGTGGTTACAATTATAGTTCTGTATACCTTTGTACATACCTTTTCCTTAATTTGACATGAAAATTTATCAACAAATTAAGCATATACAATGTATAAAACCTTTACATGTATTTTTGCATGTTTCTGTGGCCAAACATTCTAAATGTTTGGCATGCATCATGACAACCAAGCAAATAACCTATTTCTGAAATTACAAAACAAGAAAAGTACTCACTCCGATAGACATTTGTCCACAATTAGACTGAGCTTCTTCCCAAAACCTGGAACTGGACCAGATTGCACAGCCATCTCCAGCTGACACCATTCCTGTATTAATTCCAAAGAAAATACTAAATCATGTAACAAATAGTTTATTATGAAATGCACTCAAACTTAAACCTTAGATAGTGGTGAACAGTAACCTCATTCGCAGTTAAGCAGGCAAATTTTTCATTGGCAATTTCCTCACAACGTACAGTGGCAACCATAACCTAAAAGACAAACAAAAATGGAAAAAAAATACAAGTCAATACAATATGTCCCTTTTATTGGTAACTTCCTCAAAGCAAGATTTGCTTATCAAAATAAATGCGTAGCTTACCTTGTGCGCAGGAAGGTCAAGGTCCTTGTTCTCCTTAATAACTTTCCAGATCTGTTGTGCACTGAAAGAAAAACCTGAAGCAGGAACTACACCCCGTCGATCTCCAGCAAGTCCACCAGGAGCTATGGAATGGAAGAATCGCTGCCTTAAACTGGCAACCTTTATTAACAACAAAAGAGAAAAATCGAGTAAATGCAAATTTCCATTCCAAGATGACATCTAGCGAGCAAGCAATACCTGTGGCTTACATTCTAACAATTCACCAAACATAATTTTGATATAATTTAAAAAAAAAAAAAAGGTAAAGTAGGTAGCATATTAATTGTCAAAAAGAAGTATACAGTATACCCTATATACAATGAGGTTATGTACAGAAAAAAAAAAGGAAAAAAAAATAAGTTTAGTAAACTACAAGCCACAAAACTAGCCAAAATCAAGTAATTCATTCCTATGGACATCCCAGAATAATTCTGACATAATTTTCCCTATGCCATATTTAATATACCTGTTCTTTAAATTGTTCTTCTTTTTCTTCATAACTAGAGAGAGCCACAACTTCAACCTGATAGTAACACAAAGCACAATACCAAAATCAATAAGCATTTCTGAGGAAGACATAAAAATACAGATAATCTTATATTTAACAAGATCAAGAAATCTTACATTAAAAAATTCACTAAGTGGTGTTTCTTTGTGGCCTTCTGGTTTAGGAACAGCATCCCATATCTGCACACAAAGTATTACTTGAATAACCAAATCTATTAAGATAGATAAATACAGAAGCAAAAACTAGATTATGTACCTTTTTTATGTCTTCCCTCAGAATTGGTTCCAAATTTTCCAGGGGTGTCTGCATTAGGAAGAGAGAGTGGGCATGATGAATTAACTAGCAACAAATAGCAAAAAAAAATGAAAACGACTCTCTAAAACATATGCAAGCTGGGAAAACAAACCTTGGTCTTGTCGCGGATGACAAATAACAAAGTTGTTTTGCGGGGACTAAATAACCTCATCATAACCTGTTATTGACACACCATAATAAAGTTTATAACAATTAACCATCAACCAAAAATCTACATATCTATGATAATTGCTTGGACAAGCTATCAACATAGAGAATACCTGGAATACAGTCTTCAGAAGAGGCTTATTGGCAGCATGTTCACGGCCAATATCATGACACCACCTAACATGTAAAATGTTTCAGGCAATGGGAATTCAAGAAACACACGATGCTCAAGAACAACAAAGCAACAAACTGGATATCAGAGGCTGACAAAAATTGTCTGACTTGTGCTAAATGAATGAGCATACATATTTATGAGAACAATATCTGAAACCGCAAGAGCAAAAAGGGCACTCTGCTTTTCAAATGCAGTATCATCCTGGAAACAAAAACACCAAAAAATGAAGAAAAGAACATTACAGAAGTTCGGGAAGTATTGATACATTTAGTCAGATTTTCATAAAAAAAGAAGTAATAGCTACTATAAACTACAGGAATTTTATTTTACTTTTAGATGATATCAAGTTGATTACTAAATCCTAAATAGATAACATGCTAAACCTGGCTCATGGCACCAGTTTTAGAATTTCAAAGAAACGATTAAACAATAGATTAAATATCACCATGTTCCAATATGGCTCATGCATGAATTAAAGGTAGTCTCATAGTAAAATAGATTCTGTGAGGGGAAAAGAAAAAGGTGCCATAGAGTTTCAAAAAGTATACGAGGCTTATGCCTTGAAGATCACCTTGAAGCAAGGTTCAAAGAACACTTCAAGGCTCATTCCTACATGTACAAATTACATTCTACACACCTTGTGATCGCTTCTTTTCCTCCCTATAAACCATTTTGAGGCATTATTTAACATTCATAACTTCTTTCCAGTTATTAAATGATTTATATGAACGTGACAGCTTTCCTCAAAGCTCCTAATGTTCTCAATTCCTTTGTTTATGTGATCATTTATTCATTTATGTGTTTTTTCTACATAATATACTCCTTTTACGCCTGTTTTGTACATTTTCTCATATTAGTTTGATGTTTTTTTGCGGGAAAAAAAAAATAGCAACACATAAGGCTTAAGCTTCATATACCAAAAAATTCTGGCACCTTGGCTCATGCACCCCATTTTTAAACATTGTTTCATCAGTGATGCATGCATGCTGTCACAATTTTTTTGCAATATAATACAATTTATATTTTTCAAAAAGGAAAACAATTTTTTAGATCAAGTATTAAATGTTAAAGGATTCTAAATATCTAAAAAAATAAGAGATGATGCCTTGAGCAACGTATGTACAAATAAGAAGTAATAATAAAAACATAAGCAACTAATGCATAAGGAAATCTAAAGATGGACAAAGATAAGACATAAAGAAGTTTTGATACCTCGCCTCTTTCTCTTCCATCAGTACCCTCCAAATCCATGACAACTGTACAAGGTTCAATATCAGTACATTTTGCCAACCAAATTCCTTTAGTAGTTTGACACCTGGAAATGAAAAATATTGTTTGTCATTTTCCAAATATCAATATATTAACCACATAGAGAAAGAAATTTAAAAACTCAGAAATAAGATATCAAAACCGACCTTCCCCTATATGCATCCATCTCTCTAAAGTTGGTACCAAATAGATGGTTCAGAAGTGTGCTCTTCCCTGATCAATCATAAAAGAAAAGATGAAACTCCTCCATGATGAACCTCATTTTGGATGATGGATATAAGAGTGAATATGTTATTGTAAGTTAACAAAGAATAATGTGGGAACATGTACAGAACAGAATTTAACAGAACACTAGAACTGTATATGAGCTCTAAGGCTGCTTCTCAATGTGATAACCATGACTGCAGATTGATTCAATGGTTAGCAGGTGGCTATGTTTTTTTGAACCCAGGCAATATCAGCATAGGCATCAACAATCACAAGAGTTTACCAACTTAACAAGTTGGCATCTTCAAAATATGCTGAGAAAGAAAGATATTGTCGTCTCAGAGGATTAATTTTAGCATGGATGGCTCCCATACTTTCCATCAATAGCACTACTCTGGCAAGAGTCTGGAGTCAACTGACACCTACTAAACATAAACCTTTTTTGTCTAGATTAGGCTGCTGAGACATTATTCAGGCAGGCTGGAGTTGACATTCACAACCAGATAATTAAGTTGGGCCATGGGCCAAGACATTGAGCAAACAAGTGAACCAAATCCAAATGATGTATATGATGCATCAGGATTATCAAACACTAATAAATGTCGATGCATACCACTACTTTGTGGACCCATGATGGATACTACAGCATAGGAGAGTCCACATTCACGCAAATTCGCCTCCTTCGTGAAACTCTCAAGCCCAGACACATTAAAAGTACCATCTCCATCGATTAGTTGGGTTGAACAACATTCATCAGCTTTTCCTGGAAAAAAAAAAAAGAAACAACCTAAAAGTGAGGAAAAATTCATAGCTCAGTTTTCTCGATATATGAGTTGATGATAGATCAGCACCTTTGCAACAAGGTGTTGTTTCTATGGAGAGAGAGAGAGAGAGAGAGAAAGAGAGATTTAAAGATCTTATCCTCATAAGTGCTTCACGCAATAGAAGGCTTTGTCTGTAGGAGCCAATTCATCTCAAAGGGTGTAAAATTCCTTGATGAAAAAGAACCATTCTTTAAAACATTTCTAAATCCTTACCATGATGCTCTCCACTAACGAGCAATGGCATTCCTCATCATTCATTTTTGAACCAGATAAGAGAATTATCTAGATGATTCAAACCAATCCATTAGTAATACAGAAATCCACTTCGTTCTGCCCTCTTCGCACTACAGGCTAAAGCTAATCGACATTCAATGTTCATCAAGCCCTCACATTTACGTATACAGTAACTAGTTCAAAACCCCGACCTTATCACCACATACCACAGAGAGTGACCAACAAGCTACTACCTTAACCCGCTTTACTAGCCAATTGCAACGATCAAATGGGGAAATGGATCACGCATAATGCCTTACTCTAATCTTCCATGGAAATTTCCTCATTTGAGGCTTGTATGTACAAATTAATGCCAAGACCAGTTCAAAGACTCATGATACACTAAAAATTCAGAACCTTTATTGCCACATCCAAACAAAATAGAATAACGGAAGGCAAAACGAAATTAAAGACACCCTGAAACGGTTAAAACAATAAATCCAGATCAAGAATCACCTAAAACACATAAGCCAACAAAAGTTTATAAAGTTTGAGCACGAATAATCATCAAAAAAATCAGAGAATTTTTCATGGCAACGAAAACGAAGCAAGAAAAAAAGGTACACAGGGGAGGATCGAAAAGGTTGGGGACCTACCCATCGATTTAGATTGATCGATGTGTAAATAAGCTGAAAGAGACGAAGAATAGAAGAGACTGAAAGCTCAGGTAGACCTCCGAAATCTGCGAATGCCAAAGGATCGACTAGCAACAGAGAACAACTAAACGAGGAAGATCCAACATACTCTAGCCACCGCCCCTCCGACGTTTAGTTTTTAAAAGTAGAGCTCGACTCCACTGTAAAATACGAAAATGATAATCGTCGTTTGGTGTTTGAAATACCAAATACGAATACTCCGTATTGTACCCGTATACTATACGATTTTTTTTATGATGAGCTTGGGAACTGGGAAGATGTGTGCTTACTGCTTCCCACTTGAGTGGGACCCGCTAACCGTCCATCTGACCGTCTGTCTTCTTAAACTCATTTTATATTTTTTGTCCGTATCTGATAACTATGTTATTCCTTTTATTTCCTTGCTGTTCAGTTCACATCTCCGCTGTAGCCGGCTCACAACGTCATCATCGGGAGATGTTTCGAATATACGGCGGGGATGTGCTGTGGGGCGTTGTGAGGCGGAGATGTGAACTCCTTGTCCTGTTGGTCAGACGCCATTGGGAGGGTGAACAATTAGCGTAAGATGGGCCCATGATAGGATATGTCCAATTTTACATCAAGGCTCTTGCAAATCACAATGTCACCAGGGCGAGGAATCTTACAGTTGTAAATTTTTTTGTTTTGTAATAAGTGTTTATTTGGAAATGTTTGTATATAATTTGAAACAAAAATAAAAAATATATACGATAAATTACAAATAGGTATCTTATAATTTGGGGATTAAGATAGATAGGTATCCCGAAATTTCAATTTCAACGAGTTAAACATTGCATAATGTAAAAAATACCCTTTGTGTGTATTACTGAGATCATTGTACAATGTAAAACCATCGCAATTGAATGATATCGTTTGAAAATTTGAATATGTTATTTGTTGTCCATATGACAACAGATTATTGAGAAGTTCAATTACATGTAGAATGGTCTCAAAAATACATGAGATGGGTTTTTTTTTGGCATTATGTAATGTTTTACTTACATGATACTAATGAATGGATCCAATTGTATATTTTTAAAAGTTTAGGGTGCTAAGGTGTTGCAATTGAAAGTTTAGGGTACCTATTTGTCACCATCCCCAAAAGTACAAGGTACCTATATGTAATTTACCCTAAAAAATATAATAAAATTCTGATGAAGGGAAATTTGGCCCGACCTCGCCACTACTCGACGCGTGGCAAAAGCGAACAGCTCGAGGCAACAGAGCGCCCAAAACACAAGCACCAAAAGAAAAAGGAGCACGAGCTCCCTACTAGGAGCCCGATCTCCCTACTAAGAACCCGAGCTCCCTGCTAGGAGCCCGAGCTCCCTGCAAGGAGCCCGAACTCTCTCCTGGGCCTTAAACCTCACAAGGCCGTGACCCGAGCCGGCCCATGGTAGCTCGGAGCACTCCCCAAACCGAACTCAAGATTTTGTCCCCCCGTTACTCCGGCACTTCACCTCCGAAACGCCAGACTAACCAAGCGTACCATACCTGACACCAAGGATGTCCATTTCCAAGGGCGGCGCACCTGACTGATTTGGGATCTGACACTTGACAGCCGCATTTCAAACGGCCTCATGCCACCGTCGTCACCAGCCGTAGAAACGGCTCCGACAAAAGGAGTAGTGGCGGTTCTGCCCGGCCAGAAGGGATGACATCCAAACTGGCAGGAGCTCAGAGATAGTCAGGCCTGACCTGACAAAAGCCTGAAAGTGAGTGCACGAGGTGGTTATAAAAGGCTCCCTACCCCCCAATAACAAAGTATGCAAACTTTGCGCTATCTGGTTTATCTTGCCTTTGAAGGATTCTAACTTGAGCTTCGGAGCCTCTACACCAGGTTCTCCCCGGAGCTTCTTCATCTCCCCCGTTTCAGGTCCCCAGTTACTCAATTCAGAGGCAAGGTCGTTGACAGCTAAGACCGGCCGGATCGCGCATCATCAAATTCCAATCAAAATTAATACGACAAAAGATTTGTCAACGTGCATTTTTTCTCTTAAATTTTGTTTTTTATTCCCAAATGCCACAAAATGCCAGTTCGGATGTGTTAACAGAAAACACACTATTGACCATATATTTATACATTCATCCAGCCGCACATCAAGAACATCAATTGCAACTTACATTGCTGATATTTACAATGATATGTTTGGTATGACTTATGTTTATTAAATAAATGTTTGTACTTGATTTGTCTTCAAAGCCAATAAAAGGTGGTTGATAAACGTTTTTATGGTATTTGTTGACAGCTAGACACCACTAGGCGCCACATAAGTGGAACAGTACAATTGGGATATAGCCCATGCCCCAACTAAATGTTGACAACACAACATTGCAATAAATCAAATCCTTTGCAAAGGAAACAATGTTGCAGAGGATTTCTGCAGGTTATGTCGGCAAGCCCCATATAGCATTATGCATGCTTTATTCCAATGTGAGTATGCTAGAGCTACCCGATTCGGCAACAATATCAGTTTAACAGTTGAAAAGTTAACACTTTTAGCTATGCTGGTGATTGGTGGGCCCGATGGTTATCCCAAGAGCCATAAAATGCATTTTCATATGGATTTGTGATAGAGCTATCTATGGGTGTCAACAATATTTGAAAATCCGATTTCGAATTCGAGATTCGACATAATTTAATCAAATTTGGATAATTAAAATATCTAACTGGTTGAATTCGGATATGACCTGATTCGATTCAATAAATATCCGAAATCGACCAATTATTTAATTCTTATATATAATATATAATTTTTTAAATGTTTTATATAATTCATATATAATAATTAAATTATATAAATAATTTATATATTTATATAAATGAAATATCTATTTTATACATTTATTAATTACCTAAAATAATTAATTAATCGAATTCAAATCGAATACTTTAATATTTAATCGGATTCGAATCCGAATATTAATCTTTGATATCCGTCGAATATCAAAATCAAAATTGGATATTGCCTGATCCGATTTGAATTCGATCCATTTACGCCCCTAAAGTTGTCTATTGTTATTTTGTGGTTCATTTGGAAAGCTATAAATGGCTTTGTTTTTAAGAGTTCATGCCAAATCCTCACATCTCCTTACTTCATGTGCGCATGTCGATGCTGAAAATGAATAAAGTTTTCCCTCCAAAATTAACCGACTGTTACAAAACTAATCAACCGAAGGGATATGACTTATTGAATAGTTGGCCTAGTTATTATGGGTTTAAAGCTTTATCTATTGGTAGTTTTTGCCCTTCTGGGACTAGTGGTTTTGGGTTTTGGATAGCAAATGCATATGGAGATTTTTTGTTTGCTAAATGTGGTGGTTGTAAAGTGGTCTATGCTTTTTTTGCTGAAGTTGCAACAGTGTTATAATGCTGTATTGCTGCTAAAAGGTTTGGAATCCATGAGATTTGCCTTTTTCTGAAGCTTGGCACCTCCTGCATTATTTGTATGCTATGTTTGATTTGAAATTCGTGCTTTTGTGTGTTGATCGTGTTTCAATTAGGTCTGTTCATAAGCTAGCCATTAAAGGAAAGTTTATTCTTGAAGAGTGTTGGGATTCTCCTCCCATCTAGATGCTTTCCTTGTTAGCCTCTCACTCTGCTGGAGTGGAGTGTGGAAAAGATGATTAGACCCCCCGTGATGTTTTATTTTGTAGTAGTTCTAGTTTGTTTTTCTCTTTTTCTTGGTTAGTTTTGTTTAATTTCTCTGTTGTTTTATGCTCTATTCTATTACCTTTTCTCTGTTATGTATTTTTTTGCCATAAATAAATAAATGGGGTACTAATGAATCATGTTATATTTAGTGCTATATATTTTCAATTTATTAAACTACATTTCCTTTAGTTTTCCCTTGGCTCTTCTAGTTTCTTAAATCCGTAATAAATCACTTTCTTTTGGGGACCTCTTTGCACATTATTAAACCATTTTTAATTCACTTTACCACATTTGTGTCACCTTTGTTTTTAGTTCTATATGGCCATGAAATGGGTATTCCATTCCCCAAACCCATAACCTTAGGCTCCGTTTGGTTTGTGGAAAGATTTAGGTGGTATAGGAAAATATGGGATGGGATGGGAAAGTGTCAAAATTTACCTTTCCATTGTTTGGTTTTATATATGGGGAAATAACAGGAAAACACTGGTACAAGAAAGAAGAGAGAAGAAGAAGATGGAGGGAGAGACAGAGAACTCCATGATTGAAGGTCCGAAGAGGTCCTCTGGCACCGACAGTCCCCCCTCCTCCGTCGGTGCTTAATTGACCACTGCATGGTGGCCTCCCCTTCTTCACACTTTCTCTGTAACAAATGATGAACTTGGGATCTGAAGTAAAGCAAGTAGGGTTGAGAAAGCAAAGGTGATCAGAGAGAGAGAGAGAGAGAGGGAAAATGAGGGAATGAGAGAGAGATGTGAGTGGGAAGACGAGAAGAATAGGAAGAAGAAGGTGAGGGAGACGAGAGATCACTGAGAAAGGGAGAAAGGGAGAAAGGGAGGAAGACGGAGTCGCATTGTTTCTCTCCCTCCTCTATTCGTTGTTGCTGGTTTGTTTTTCTTGACCCATCCCTCCTCTATTCGTCGTCGATGGTAAGTGGTAACAATGGTTTCTCTAGTTTTTCCACCGGGGTCACACTGTTTTGGTGCGACCCCGAATCCATGATTTTGAAATTTGGCATCCCACATTTTTCTCATCCCATCCCTCTATTTCCCTCAAAACAAATAAGAGAAAATGGAATATTTTTTAAATATTCCCGTTTTCTCATCCCCATCCCACAGACCAAACGGAGCCTTAGAGATCACATCAGCACCCCACATGCACATTGTAACATTCACTGTGAACACCTCCCTTACTTGCCATTTGGGAGATGTTCCCTATACATGGTTGGGAACTTGGGATGTGACGTGGGGCACCGATGTGAACTCTATCACCTAACAATGTTACAATATCAGTTCATTCAAATAAGTTCATTTTATCCCATTTCAGACAAATGGGCGAGGATGCAACTATTGATTGAATCAATTTCTCATGCTCGCTTTTTTTCAACTTCCTCTACCCCCTTTTTATTTTGTAAAGATCTGTCATCCTTTTTATCACTGTTGAGACATGAGAGG